ATAAATTAAATAATTAAAGAAAAAATTTTTTATTATAGTTCTAAACTCTTGAAGCCATTCCATTTTTATTCTGAAAATATATATAAGTTAGTCCTAATAAAGTATAGTCCTAATAAGTATTTATAAAGTTGATGCATCCCTATAAAATCTCGATAAAGGCCTTATCAGATATAAATAAGGAAGATTACGCCTCTAATAAATTATGATTGGGATCTTATTAGGTTAAAATAAGGAAATCTTTCTTCTGATATCGCATAAATAATGATCAGGGCTTCATAGAGCTATCCCTAATAATTTTTTACACAGGTAAATATCCCGGCTATATATAATATCCCGGTTACCTCAAATAATGATAAAAATACTTTTTTTAGTCTATGTGTTTTCGCGTAATTAAATTTAAAAAATGATATATGAACAGCGCTACGGTATGTCTTGTTCAAAATAACAAAACGTTCCTTGGCATAAGAAAAAAAATAAGTGCTTAGCACAAGTTTCTCTTCAATTACCATTATGTTGCTATCACCAGGGCAATAATAATTTTGTTTAAGCTAACCTAGAGGCATTATGCGGACAACGGTTGTTTGCACAAACGAGCGGAAATAGCTGTAACAAACTTATTGCCATAAATGTTGCTACAATCTGTTGGAAATCGTTTTTGTAAAATATTTAGTCCATTTTTGTCAATCGAATAGAAATAGAATGTCGTCGAGTAATATGTGATACCGTCATGACAGAAGGATGTATCGAGTTAAATTTTTTATTTTAAAAAATGATATAGAATAGAATTTTGGAGGCTCAGCGTGTTGAAATTATAGTCTCCGTCAATATGTGGATAGGTCACCAAGATAAGAAAAAAAATAGAATCGAAATCTTGATCGACAAGATTAGCAGCAAAAAGATAAAATATTAGGTGTACAACTTTTCTTCCGCCGTTTTTTTCCGAAATTCGAGGCTTTATTGTAAAAAACTGATTATACATTTATGATTCAAAGTATTGTCCATCGCTGGCCATTACTTTCTCCCATCTTTCTGATAGCGTACGAATCCCGCGTCGAAAAAAACTGGTCATCTTTTGAGGCTATCCACGAATCGATCCAATTTTTTACTTCTTCATAAGACCGGAAGTGCTGGTCAGCCAGGCCGTGTGCCATTGATCGAAACAAGTGAGATAATCAGAGGGAGCAACGTCTGGAGAATACGGTGGGTGAGGTAGGACTTCCCATTTCAACGTTTCCAAGTATGTCTTGACCACTTTCGCAACATGGGGTCGAACATTGTCATGCTGCAAAATCATTTTATCGTGTCTCTCGTTGTATTGCGGCCGTTTGTCTTTCAATGCTCGGCTCAAACGCATCAATTGCGTTCGATACCGATCGCCTGTGATTGTTTCAGTCGGTTTTAACAGTTCATAATACACTACGCCGAGCTGGTCCCACTAAATACAGAGCATGACCTTGGAGCCGTGAATATTCGGTTTGGCCGTCGACGTGAAAGCATGGCTGGGGACTCCCCATGATTTTCTGCGCTTGGGATTATCGTAATGAACCCATTTTTCGTCCCCAGTCTCAATGCGATGCAGAAATCCGTCTTTGCCTTTCAAGCAGCTGTTCACAAGCAAACAAACGCCGTTCAACATCTCTCGGCTTCAATTCGTACGGTACCCAATTTCCTTGCTTCTGAATCATTCCTATAGTTTTGAGGCGTTTTGAAATGGCTTGGTGAGTCACTCCTAATGATCGTGCCAATTCTTCTTGATTTTGACACGAGTCTTTGTTTAAGTAATGTCTCCAATTCTGCATCTTCGAAAATCTTCTCTCTTCCACCGCTGTGTCGGTCTTCGACGTCAAAATCATCGTTCTTGAAGCGTTGAAACCACTCACGACACGTTCTTTCACTAATAGCGGCCTCACCATAAGTATTTGAGAGCATTCGATGAGCCTCAGCCGCAGATTTCTTCATATTGAAGCAAAAAATTAAAACCTCCCGCAAATGACAAGAATTTGGCTCGTAAACTGACATTTTCAATCGAGAATAACTTTATGATGCAAACACAAATCGACTAATGTTTCTATGGGGTTATGTTGACAGATGCCCAAGTTTATTGTATGACGTCTATGATCTATTTATTTCGACCACCACTTACCGCTAAAGCCATCTATAGGAAAACGGCGGAAGCAAAGTTGTACACCTAATAATATAAAATAAAACGTGAGAACGTCAAATCTATATGAATTGATAGTCGACTGATTCTATTCGCTCCAATAAAGAATATAATGTGATCGGCACTGTCTAAGGTTTAATATCCCGAAAAATGTATAGCATACTCGGAACACTATATCCGTCAGCGTCAGCTCATCGACTCTTTTGTCTACCCATCTCACCATCGCTTCTCTCGCTCGCATCTTTCTCGAAGTTTTTCTGTCCTATAAATATTATCCATGTATGTTTACCGCTCGTTAACTTTTAAACTTTAAAATATATTATAACACTTGATAATAATTTCCATGTAAAGTTGCAGCATAGATTAATAAAATACAATTAAAATACAATATTTTCACCTACGTTCTGAATTATCATTCGTTTAGCTTATCTCCGTATGCCACTAATATAAAAGATGAGAAAAAACTAGAGAAAGAAATTTAGTTTAAAAGTCTACTGTTCTTATTTTCGTAGCCAACATATTCGTATGTAATCGTCTATTGGCTACGTGTACCTCGAGTGTATATGTCTGTGTTTATGTCACGACACTGTTTTCGCGAATCTACATATCTGTGCCGCATGCAATCGCCACAGAATAAAAGACATTAGAAAATTTTTCAGCTGTGTTCTAATGAAATAATTTTTTGAAGTGAGCTCCAAAGATTCTAAGATGAAAGGCATAATATTTTTTTTTAATGTTTACTGAATAAATGAAATTTCTTGATACTTTAATATGTATTTTATTTTGCTTTGTAATTTTCTTCATAGCTTCATAACTTACACCTGTCAATCAAATGAGTAAAATGTCTAAAATTAACTCATAAGTCATTTTAAGATATCTTTCAGAGTTCTTTATAAGATATTTTAAAGATGTTTCTTAAAGAATTCTTAAAGATATCTCAAAGTTCTCTTGTGAGTCGATTTTAAACATATTAGGAAGCATTGTTAAAGGAAGCATTGTTAAACTTTTTACTGCAATAGTTTCTTTCATATTGCTATTAAATTGCTAGCAAATTTGTTTTATGTAAAATTAATTTCCATCATGTTACCGTGCGATTGTCTTAATCTATAAAACTTATAAACTTATAAAAGAGAGAAGGGAAATTGTTTCTCTCTGGTTGTGCATAACTGTTTACGATCTCAAAATTACCTCAAAAATATATCCTTAAGAGGAAATTCGATTGCAAGACACTCTGTATATTATCATCATAAGCAAAATCAGAAGCCGCTTTTCTCAAGAAAGATGACAACTCAGGCGATGCAATTTATATTAAATTTATACAACATATGAGAAACTTGTTATCTAGAAACAGGAAAAAGATTTAAGTATCTCGGTAATAATAAACAGATAATTGTGATGAGTTTAGCCCCTTCACCTTCGATAAAATTAGACTCATTCAACGCGTTTTGCACGAAATGAACGAACCTGATAAAAGAAGTGTTGCTCTGT